AGAGAGAGAGAGAGAGAGAGAGAGAGAGAGAGAGAGAGAGAGAGAGATGCTGATACTCCGTTACGGCCTTCTCCAAGCGTCTTTTGGTACCCTCTTCTTCTTTTCAGAAAGCAGTTGTCCCTCTTTGACTCAGCCACGCTTGAAGTATGTGGGGAGCTGTGTGTAGCGTTCTTTTGTTTTTGTACTTTTTAAACCATGTGCTGCAAAGCTGTTGGACGTGAAGCACAGAGTTGTATGACCTCAGTGCATCCTAAGGCCGGTGTGTGAGGCCTGCACATCCCGCTGTGTGTGCTGTGCTTAATTTAAAGCACCAGCAGTTACAATTACAAGATGACGTTAACAACAGGAAGGGCACTTAAGGGGTGAAGTAGGCGTACTTATTTTAGTGAAATTGACTTAAAATCACCAGTGAGTTTTCTCTGTGCTAAGAGAGTACCTGAAGAAGGCCACAGTATGCTCCCTGCCTGAGTGATGTTCACAAATGGGTGGAGCATGATCTGCACCGGCTTTAAACGTCAGAAAGCTGTCTTGATTGGAGCATTACACAGTGTGCATCCAGCATAGCATGGCACCCTATAAATAGACATACTTTTATGTCAGTTAAATGAGTAAATTTTCAAAAGATAAAATAACTATAGAATTTGAATATAATGGAATAATTTTTTGTAATTAATTTTTTAAAAGCAAGTTCTACCCTCGTCCCTCTGGTGTAATTTCCCAGCTGTGTGTAGCTTTAGATTTTGCTTCTTGGAAGGAGAAAGAAGGCTCCTCCTGTTTAATTTAACAAAAAATGGCCCCCCCCCCTTTTTTAAACCAAACTTAGTGCTGGTAAGAATTTCTGACTCAGTAATTTTGGAAAGAACTACTTCGTTCCAGAAATAGACGCGCTCACACACTGGGTCTTCTGTACTAGTAATTTCCATTGTGTCCGGAAACTGGGTGGATGCAGGACTCATACGGAAGAGGGACTTGTCGGGATCAGGCTGTGGTAAGGACCCCCTGCCCCATGCTAGCCTAGAGGGTTCTGGCCAGTGGGAGACACTGAGGTCACTGTCCTGTGACTACGTGTGTTCCTCCAGTAACCCCAGTATTTCTACCTGGCATTTGTACCTGATCCGCCCCTATTCTGAAGCCCTGCTGTTATCCTAGAGGTCCATGCAAGGCCGTTGGGTTTTGCATTGGTGTTTATTTATATGGTTAGTCTTGTGTACTTCAGTGATACTGCACAGAGTGACATCATGTGCTTATCACACACCCCTTCACTTCTAGTGCCGAGTGCACCGGCAGTCTTTATGCGTGTTCACTGTGTCACTCGTACCTGCTTTGTTTTACTACTGTTGCCCTGGAAACCCACATGGCATGCAAACACTAACAGGCTTGTTTGTTATCTAGCTGTGTGGCCCAGGCTGGCTTCAAACATGTAGTCTTCCTGGACTGGCTTTGAAGGGGTCACCACCTCTCTCTTCACTAGTGGGTTTTTAATAAATTATTTTGCTGTCTACAATTAGAACAGATACCATCAGTTTGTATGTAACTTAGAAAGGGGCTTTAGAAAACCATCATCTTTCGTTTGGATCCTTGTGTCTGCGGTAGCAGAAATACCTTGGAACCAGAATCAGCCTGAGGCTGGATGGTGAGCCACACTTTCTCCCAGTAAGGGCCCCAGAGGACAGACTCTGAATTTTGTGGGAAGGTGTGGCCGAGAGCAGGGAGATGAGAGGATTCCCAGCCACATGCCTTGGACAGCTGTGAAAATGGAAGTAACGGTGAAGAAGGGTATGTAGCTGGTCAGCCATGTTCTGCAGTTGCTCGTACCATCTAATCTTAGGTCATGCATTTTTTTTCTACTTTTTTAAAAGACAGAGTCTCACTTATGTAGCCCTGGGTAATCTGGAACTTGCTATGTAGACCAGGCTGACCTTGAATTTACAACTTCCCAAGTGCTGAAACTAAAGGCGAGTACCACCATACTGGGGTCCTCCCTTAATTTTTAAGAATGTTGTTACATTCTATTTTTTTTTTAAATTAGATTTGTTCTTATTTTATGTGTATGAATATTTTTTTCCTGTGTGTATGTATGTACACTACTTGTGTGCCTGGTGACCATGGTGGTCAGAGGAGAGTCTCAGATACCATGGAACTGGAGTTGTGGTCGGTTGTGAGCCACCCTATAGGTGCTGGGAACTGAGCCCAGGTCCCTGCAAGAGCAGCCAGTGCTCTTAACTACTAAGCCGTCTCTCTAGCCCCTTCTGTTAACAAGACGTTTTAGTTTGTGGAAACTTGGATTTGTTGCTTTTCCATAAGTTTTAAAATGTAAAGAAGTGAGTTGACTAAAATTGGATATAAAGAATTTGGTGTTCAGAACAGATTCTCTGTTCAGTGAGGGAGGGGCTGAGTAGATCTCAGTGGAAGATTCCTGCTTTCCATGCCCAAGACCCCAGTTGGTTCCCAGCACCCCAAGGCTCACTAAAGCGAAAGGGGCTCAGGTGCATTTGTTGGTCTATAACTGCTGATGTAACTCTGCCTTCTCTTCTCCTTGAGTGTGAAAGGCACCGACCTCACACACAGCAGAGATGAAAAGGCACTGCCCACCGCACATGAAGTTCTGTGCCTGACAAGGCAACTTACAGACACCATCACTATTTTATCGTAAGACCTGCCAGTGCTGGGAGGGCTCCTTTTAACTTCTCAAGTAGCGAGTTTAGATTTGTGCACATTTCAGAAATTGGTATTATTTACACATTGGCTTCGTGGGTAACATGACAGTTCTTCCCTTGGCAAAATGGATGAAAGTTTAAAAACGCACTGATTGTGCAGTGGAAGAGAATCAGAGCCAGTGTGCGGCCTTAGCTGTCATTTGAGAAGGTATTTGCTACAGGGAAGGCTTTCATTTTTATGGAAAATATGAGAAAAACGAGTTAGCGTTTGAGTGGAAGAGAAGTAGGTTAGCTGTAAGAAAAACTTTCTGACCACAGGCTGCCAAACAGATAAGAGGAACCATTTTCTCAGCGCTGGGAGACAGCCCCTCCCAGAATGTTCCTCTTGGGCCCCAAGACTGTCGGGCTCTCGGGAGTCCATTTAAAGATGGTCAGCCCTGAACCTCTCCCTAGGTCCTGGCAGGGCATCTGCCGGGAGTCTATCTCCCCTCCAGTGGAGGGTGAGTAATCTTCCTACCCAGACACTGAAGCATCCGGAAACCTGAGCACACGCGGTGTCTATTTAAAGCTCTGGGGTTATGAAAGTTCCAGGGATTATGACGTGAGAGCCCATTAGAAAGATGGGCCTTGAGCATGGCGCACAGCCTGCAGCCCCGGAGGATGGCAGTGACACACACACACACACACAC